TTCTAGCTGCTGGATTTGGATTAATAGCCAGACATGACAGTTTGGTATGTGCATATATCTACTATGCATGGCAGACACATGCCCTTTTGACACCATTTCCGGTTCTTGAACTGTTTAGGCAGGAGTGCAGAGCCCCAGCTCATTTGCTGACATTTGTTCTGGGGCAGGTAAATCCTGTTAGCTACCATTGGTCACTTTGCTTAGTATAGTCTGCACTGACAGGCTGCCATTCTCCAGGATTGCAGACAGAATCTCTCCCATCTTGGGCCTACTTAGAGATGCTATAGATTGAACCTGGGACCTTTCACATGAAAAGCATGTGCTGTTTCATGAGCCATGGCCCTCCCCACAATGTTCCTGATGATTATGCTGTGTTATAATTATGATACTTCTCCCGCCCTCCTTCTGCCAATATGATATCACACAGACTGTTGGTTCTGCTTTGGCCACAGATGGAACTCTGCGACTTGGAGTTCTTGAGAATCCTTGAACAACAACTTCTAACATTTCTTGTGTTTCCTTTTTATGTTAGAAAATGAACAGCTCGCTGTTCAAAATATCACTTGTTTTGTTTGATCACTGCTTCTAATTGGCTCCACTAAATCTCACAGGAACTAGATATCATAAAGAAGGAAAAATAAATTTGTACAGACTCTCTTAAGAATAAAATACATTTTAGCCTCAGTATTCTCCTTCACAGTAATGGCTATACAGCATTGGCTAGAATTCACTAAAGTCCATTAAAGTGTGCCTATTTCTACTCCCACTTCATGCTTAGGGCCAGTAGAGAAATGAATGTTCCAGCTAGAAGAAGGGGCTTCTGGGATCATTACTGAACTTAATAAACCACTGGCCCATTGTTCTCACTGCTGTGTCCCTTTGGAAATTCTGAATGAGACATACTTTTTGCCATCTTCTGGCTAAAATTTATGTGCACAAACTGTATAGGAAGTAAATTCTTTGGTGCTCATTTTTGTAAGGATCCTTAAACTTAAAACTGAAACATTTAAAGTTTTGCTCCCATTTGGAGCAAATGTGAATTGGGATTATCTTCAAGGCCTTGCTTTATTTTTATTGTAACTATCTGTATCTGCAACAAAACATGTCTCTCCCATATCAGTCTGTACAGCCACAGCAGGCACAGTAACCTTCCAACAGTTTGACTTCACCCTGAAAAGTGCATTCCTCCATTGTCTCCAGAGACAGATGGATGCCAACCATTGTGCTTCTTCTGTTCAATCTCACATAAGGACATTGACTGCTGCCAAACAAGTGCAAGTTTTTCAGGGTTAATCTAGACAAGGTAGTCAGAGATTTCTGATCAGATCTCCCATTGTATTTTAAAAGTTAAAAGCAGCTACACTGGGTGGTGGACGAAGTAAATTGGGACTATAGAACTGGGGGGGAAGCTTTTCAACCCTTTCCCTTCATGCTTTTCTCACTATTGAAATTTCCCCTCAACTGGATATTTCCTCTTTTGTTCTCTATGAAGTCCTTTCTTGTAAGTGGCTGGAAGAAGCTGTGAAGAGTTGCAGCAGAACACATGCTTTGCATGTAGAAGGTCCCAAATTCAAGCTCCAACATCTGCATCAGAGAGAGACTTGTAAGAAAAGCAAGGTACTTGCTGCGAAACAAAATAGCTAGAAAGACCAATGGTCTGACTGGGTGTAACACAAGTTCTTTTGTTACTATTAGATGGCAGACAGCTACGTATTGTGTTTTACCAAGCTCAGGAAGCTGAGATAAGATTGCTTTGTGTTTAGCAACTTGAGTGGTTGGAAACTCATGAAACTCAAGGGGACAATGGAGCAGTCCAAGTTGGGCTGTTTTCATAAGTAGGAAACATTTTTGAGGGCTGCTTATTGAACATCATTAAATACATGCATGGGTAATATTGCAGATATATTGTTTCACTAGGATTGCATTTCTATGCACCACACTTTCCCAGGATTACACCCCACTGAACACAATGGAATTAATGTCTGTGCAAACATGCATATGATTGCACTGTAAATGTTGCAATCCTAGGATGAATAAATCCATTCAACATCACACTTGCAAGAGGAAACCATGAGCTTTTCACCAGCAATTACTTGGTAATGTATCCTTTTGCCAGGTAATTGATATAGAAAGAGGAAAGCTATCCCTGACCAAAAGAAACACTTGAAAACAATACAAAGGTCAGGGAAAAACCTATACAACAAAATACTTTATTATCATATAACAGCATATATAAAAAGAAAACTAACATGTTTAGAGTACAAACAGATATATGCAGTACATGGAAACTTTGCTCAAATCAATCTACACACACACTTTCTTTGGGTGTAGATGGAAGATGAGAGTTCAAATCACCAACAAACATAGGAGATAATAGGCAAATGGGATTTAAATAAAAATAGATTGAGGGGGAGCACTGTGGCTACAGTCTTTGTTCTGGAAACTCACACGTTTGTGTTTGCTTGCACAAACTAAGCCACGATTTGGTTTAGCATTATAAGCAAACTCAGTCACTGTGTGTTTATCAATGCTCAAAGGAAAGTATCTTTCTAAGAAAGTATCTCATAAGAACATGTAACCATATATTTAAAAATAAACATACCCAAAATACTTGCATTCAGCTAATTGTTTTGACAAAATGATGTTTGTTTTGACAAAATGAAGATTGTATTTCCTCCTGACATGTAAAGAAACACACAGAAGGTTAGCACATGCACCTGGTCAATGAAACAACAGGACACACACACCCTCCCAAATTCCAAACCTTTGTGAGCGCCAAGGCAAGGCAGCACAGTGAAATAATGCCCCATAACTTATTATCACAATATCACAAAAATGTAAGAACAACTTTGTTATCTAAACAAAATCATTGAGCACAGAAAGCCAAGTTCTAGTTTGGCCTGAATGATTCAAAGTGTTACATGGCTGAAAGAAAAAAATAAATAGTTCTGTATTCCTCAGCAAAGATGAAGCTCTGCCAAGAATATTTGGGGCAACTTACTTTGATGTCTGTAAATTGTGGAGGATTCAGAGGGGAACAGAGAGATTATAAATGGCCTGGAAATCCTTTGCCATATTTCTCTCTGCCTAGAGAGAAAAAGATTGAGGGCTAACACAACAGCTTCCAGGACAATGTAATAACAAAAAATAGAAGGGGTGAGAGGATAAAGAAAGCACAACATTAAAACTGCAGCTGTAATTTAGTTTGGCCAACAGGGAAAACATCCTAACTTTAAATTACACAAAGCCTACTGCCACTGTGCAAAACTTCTTCCTTTTTCTTTTCGTAGGCTGCAATCCTATACTCACTTCCCTGGCCGTAAGCCTCATTGAACTCAATGTTCAAGTGGGGGTGCCTAGCAGGGATCATAAGTCCCCAGACTTGATGCTAAACTCCCCAAGATGCTATCAGTTTTGGCAACAGCATCATAAAGAAAAAATTAAACTAGCCAAGGTTTAAACCTCTCTGCTCAGACAAGTGGTCTGATGGGGATAAAAATGGCCCCATCCTAGTCATCATAACCCTGGTCCTCAGCTGAGAGAAGGGGGACTGTGCACACCCAGTCATACCCAGACTTACTTGGGAGCAAGCACCATTGAACACCATAGGCCTTAGGTAGTAACAGGTAATACAGTTAAACAGTGTCTCTTGCTATTATGAGCAGTGCCACAACTAACCATAACTGTGCCCAGTGTGCACCATATATTGTGTGCCCCCCTCAAATTGCTATTTGTATTAATGATCAAACAAAAAAATGTAATTTGCAGGACTGTTGTTGTTGTTGTTAATCATATTCATGAACCACATATATGAAACACGAAAAATCGTAATTCTGATTTAACATGAACAGCAGCAATTGCCCCTTCATCATTATTTATTAGATTATGTATATACCACTATTTATCAAAAAAGCTCAGGGTGGCTCACAAGATAAAAATATTGCACCCCCCTGTTGGGACACTTGCCATTTGGTCCTAGCTAAGCAACTCGTGCATCACTAAGACTTGACCCTTCATATGGTTCATTTTCCTATCCAGTTGTGTTTTAATCTGTTCATCAATAAATAGCCTCTTGTATTAATGGGTTATGGGCCAGATGGGTGGGGTATAAATAATAAAATTATGATGATGATTATGTTAATGATGGTGATGTTTGAGTTATGTTATAAGATCCATTTTTAATGAAATCAGTCCTGAGTGCTCACTGGAAGGACAGATCCTGAAGCTGAGGCTCCAATACTTTGGCCACCTCATGAGATGAGAAGACTCCCTGGAAAAGACCCTGATGTTGGGAAAGATGGAGGGCACAAGGAGAAGGGGACGACAGAGGATGAGATGGTTGGATGGTGTTCTCGAATCTACCAACATGAGTTTGACCAAACTGCGGGAGGCAGTGGAAGACAGAAGTGCCTGGCGTGCTCTGGTCCATGGGGTCATGAAGAGTCAGACACGACTAAACAACTGAACAACATGGTGGAAGAGGGGGGAAGGAGAAAATAAGGGGGGAACCAAATCTTGTTAATAACTTATTATTTATACCCTGCCCATCTGACTGGGTTACCCCAGCAACTCAGGACAGCTTCCAACATAATAAAAACACTGCAAAAAACCAGTCATTATATTAAAAAAACACCTTTCTTAAAAACCTATTAAAACATTTTAAAATAAAGCTTCTTGTTCTGAGCCTGCAAAGCAAGCAAGCCTATCTTTTATCACACAGAAACTTAGCACCTTACTTCTCTGCAAGCATGCACAGAAAGTATACTTTTGAATAACTAAACCTCACTGGCTTCAGCAGAAAGTGAACCTTTAAAAAAGTTTATATACAAATCTAAACCGTGTTTCCTGAACAATTCTCCTTCGACTTACAATGCGCAACTGTGCACCTGTGCCCTTTCTGCCTGTCACATCGCTCTGACAAGTCGCAGGACCCCTCGAGGGGTGGGCAGCGCTCTCAGAGCGAGGTCTGCGCGCCTTACTACCATCAGGTTAACCGAGCAGCGAATTCCAAGGAGCGCCCCCTCCCCGCGCGCGCGCGCTCCGCGTCCCTGGAACTGCAGCCTCAGTGCAGCGCCAACTTCTCCTGGCAGAAAGTAAGGGCGAGGGTGGTGGAGGTGGCGCGAAAAGGAGGCGGTGGTGCACGCGCAGCCCGCCTCGCGCCCCCGGCCCTGGGCGCGTCGGGAGAAGGAGACGCGCTGCTGGGGCTTGTTCGATTCCGCTCTGGCCGGAGAGAGGTCTCCGAGAGGGCGCCGCGCGCGCCTGAGGGGAACCTTCCGACACTTTTGCGCTCTTCTGCCGCCTCCGCCCCGTCCTCGGGTAGGTTGGGAAGTTTGCAGGGCGGGGCTCGGCGCGCCGAGGAGGAAGAGAGAGCCGGGGAATTCTGTCCCGCCCGGTGCCATTCCACAGTGAGCCGCGGGCGCGCCAGCAAGGTAAGCTGCCCTCTCCGGGGAGGGGAGGGGGGAGGCCGGCGGAGAGGAGGACACGCTCGCGCGGGGTAAACAAGCAGCGTCTTTTGGCGCGTCCGCTCCCAAGCGCCTCTGCCCGCCTATGAGGCGAACTCAGTGGCCGCAGCCCTTCCTGAGGCGGCGGCAGGGGCTGCCCGAGGCGGCTGGCCGGAGTCCGCCAGCGAGGAAGGGGGCGAACTCGTCTCCTCTTCTCGCCCCCTCAGACTAGAGCAGAGGAAGGAGCCTCTGGGGCACCTGCTTGCCTCTGCTTGCCCGAGCCTTTTCTGACAGGCTCTTTCGCCACGCCCTCGCCCTTCCCACATGGGAAGCCCCGTCCCGCGGCGCCAAACCCCGCAACTGTGGTGCTTCGTGAGGGGACCGCTCCTTCCCCGAGAGCCTGGGACTGTGCTTGGTGGTGCAGGTTGAGCGGAAGTTCAACAGGTGCTGCCCCTCTCGAGTTCCTGCATCTGTTAAGGGCGAGGGGGAGACCCTCCTACGGTGTCTTCTGGGTCCATCCCATAATGAGCAAGTGTGGGAGCTGGAGATTTCCTTTCTTCAAAGGCTGCACACAACTCAAAGGGGTCGCTCTGGGCAAGGACTGTCAGCTGAGCTCCAGCTTCCCATCTGCAGTACATACCCGCCTTCCTTACAGGGCTTTTAGGTTGCTGAGGTGGTGGTTTCGGGGTTTTTTAAAGAACTTTTAAAATATCTGAAACAGAAATGTGAACGCTGAATGCTTGAAAGGAACTGTATGGATGCAGTGTTGTTAATTAGACTAAAGAATCCATGCACACTGTTGAGGATCTTTAGATGACCTTTAGGCACTTTGTCACTCTTTTAGCTCTTGTCCTGCGAGAAGGACTTAAGGATCTCTGTCATCAAAATGGTCCTATCTACATTCTCCCCTTATTGGGTGTGATCCTGATTTTACAAAGAGTTATTCCGGAGAATGCATTTCATTGTTCCTCGAGGCTGGTGCAGAGTCTGTGTTTCCATCTCTTAAATGTGTGTCTTTAAAAGTTTGCACATATTTATAGCTGCATGGGACAAAACTCTTTAAAAGAGAGAGAGAGAGAGAGAGAGAGAGAGAGAGAGAGAGAGAGAAATAAATTGTGATGATGGTTGACACATGAAGTCTTTGAGTTTGTTCGTTTAGGTCTGACACCACAGTCTACAGACATCAGTGGAAATATAGCAAGTGTCTTCAGATAGCTTCAAATTATTCATTTCCCTCCTGTATATTCTGAGTATGTGTATAACACCTATCAAGATATCACAGGAGAATGGAATAACTAGACTGTTGCAGGAAACCCTTAAAAAGAAAGTTTGCTTTTTAAGGGCTTTGACGTGCATTAAAAGAAGTCTTCAAAGTTAAGGAGAAGTCGGGGACTTAAGTGATTCTTGTGAGAATGTCACCTAGACACTATTTTCCAGATACTGCAGTGCAAAACTTAAACGTTAGTCTCAAAGCAAAAAGCAGGCATAAGTGACAAAGACAAAGTTTCCTGGGATACTGTCAAGATTGCTTACTTGGCATATATAGGAACTGAGAAAATCATTCTTTTTGGATAATTCACATCATTTTGAGCATCTGCTATTCAAATATTTATATACGTCAAAAATTCACTAGCTACATTTTGAAAATAAGCTTCTGTATGGAAATCACTTGAGTATAAGTTAGTTCCATATAACTGGTTGACACAAAACTCTTTAAAGTTGCTAACAGTGTGACTGAAAGAAAATAGAACAGGGTTGTTGTTTTTCTGTACTGTATGTCCATCAAAAAAGGTCAAAATGGCTGTCCATTTTGCTTTATGCGGACCTATTTGATTAAAATCTGTTGATCAGTCAACTAATATATATTTTTTAAATAAAGTGGTTTTTGGCTTCTTATTTGACTGAGAAATTACCCTGCTGGATGCAAATGGCTATGAAACAAATGGACTTGAAGTATTCTTTGGGACATTCCATAACTTTGTAACTTTTATTCAAAGTGGAGATAACAGACAAAGACCACTTTAATCAGTTATGGAAAGAATTGCTTGAATTATGGGACAATTTTGTGATTATGATCCACATACAACTGAACTTGCAATCATTTCCTATCATGTATATTGAGAATTAAGAATATAGAAAGCTTCCTTATAGTGAGTCAGACCCTTGCTCCATCTAGTTTAGTATTGCCTACACTGACCGGAAGAAGCTCTTCAGGTTTTCTGACAGGAGTCCTTCCTAGCCCTCCTGGGAAATGCTAGGGATTAAACCTGGGACCTTCTGCATGCAAATCAGATGCTGGGTCATTGCAGATCCAAATGTATAGTGTCATTTTGCTAGTTAAAGTTTGCTCCAGTTTATGATTTACTGTTCGTTAAACAAAAAAGTTTTAACAGAAAAAGAATGTGTCAGACATGCTTGCTTAGAAGTAAGTATGGCTTTGTTCAATTGGGCATAGTTTTTAGTATGTGCTACTGCAGCTTCTGACTTCACTGGGTTACTAGCTAGTAGTCTATTTTGTGTTGTGTTTTGTTTTTAATACTGTTACAGTTCTGACCAGTGCTGACACTTTCTCTGGTTTCCTCTTGTAAGAAAGAAGTGAAATAATCTTTGAATGTGTTTGCTGTACTTGTCAGTGTGAACATTTCTGTATCTCTGCCATCTTCCTGTCCAGTGTTCTGTGCCCCCTCAGCAGAGAGAACAAGTACAGTGGTACCTCGGGTTAAGAACTTAATTCATTCTGGAGGTCTGTTCCTGAAACTGTTTTTAACCTGAGGTACCACATTAGCTAATGGGGCCTCCCGCTGCCACTGCCACGTGATTTCTGTTCTCATCCTGAAGCAAAGTTCTTAACCCAAGGTACTATTTCTGGGTTAGTGGAGTCTGTAACCTGAAGCATCTGTAACCTGAAGCGTCTGTAACCCAAGGTACCACTATATAGGTGTCATACATTCTGACGACCCCTCCTGCTTAAAAAAACCACATTTTGACACTACTGTAGCTTTAAGCAAATGCTTTTTTAATGTAGAAAACTACAGCAGTATTAGTAGAACAGAACTGTTTAACTTTACTAATATTAATAGTAGGAAACAGAAGTGTTGGTGCTTAAGTCTGTCTAGGAGATACATCCTGCAAAATTAGAAACTCTTGTTCCTATTTGCAGGTGTGACTGACATGTTCATTCTCTGAGTCCCCCTCTCTAGTGGCAAATAAAACACTTTTCAAGACTGGGAAGGATCTTCAAGGTGCAGTCTAGGGCCGAACTCTGATGAGCTTCAGGTCAGGTTGTTGCATATTTTAAATAATTAGCAGGGGACTAGCAGAATTAAGGTTTCAGTATTATAATCAGCGGGTGGCGCTGTGGTCTAAACCACAGAGCCTAGGGCTTGCCGATCAGAAGGTCGGTGGTTCAAATCCCCCAATGGGGTGAGCTCCCGTTGCTCGGTCCCTGCTCCTGCCAACCTAGCACTTCGAAAGCATGAAGTGCAAGTAGATAAATAGGTACCGCTCCAGCGGGAAGGTAAATTGTGTTTCTCTGCGCTGCTCTGGTTCACCAGAAGCGGCTTAGTCATACTGGCCACATGACCCGGAAGCTGTACACTGGCTCCCTTGCACAGTAAAGCGAGATGAGCGTTGCAACCCCAGAGTCAGCCACAACTGGACCTAATGGTCAGGGATCCCTTTACTTTTACCTAGTATAATCAGAATCTAGAGAAGATAACAATTAATTATCAGACAATCTTCCTCCAATTTTTCAAATAAACATTCCCTAAATAAACTGACAGTAAAAGTTAAAAGGAAGGTTAACATAACTTAAGTGCTGAATTAGAGTAATTCTGACAGGTTGTTGTTTTGCATAAGAGGGATATTCCAGTACCAATAAAAGGTTACTATCCTGGAATAGGCAAACAAATGATAGGCAATTTCTCTGAGTTCAGCCTCCTGTAGTGAACAATTTGTTCTTTAAAAGACAACTCTAAAAAGTCTCTAACCCAGTTTTCAGCTGTAGGTACAGAACAATACTCCTATAAAATAAAAAACTTTGATACAGATTGCCAACATCTCTTGTAACAGGTATGGGGATTTTCCAGATCATAGTGATATACGGCAGTTTAAGCTGATTATATGTGGATTCTAGCTTCAATGACAAGGCTAAATGACACTGGCATCATTCTAAAGGCTTCACTAACACAACTGCTATTGTTTGTTCTGAAGCAACTCTGGAGAAATCACCTCTCCACCGTATTTTAAAATACCTATAGCAAAATGTTTTGGAGACAAGTACAAAATACCACCTTGCTCAACAAGGCTTTTAAGAACCACATTGTCAGAAAAGCAGTGTTTAATGTCTGGACAAAATACAAAGACTTATTGGAAAATAAAACTCCAAGGTGGCTCTCACCTTTGGAAGCTAAGGCCCGGAAAAGACCCAATATGGAAGCCTATTGGCCAAAATATTGGGAACTGTTAGAAAAAGATGGAGATAATTGGAAATTGCAGAGTATGGAGAAAATGAAGGACAAAGTGCGAGACTGGTTACACTACGCTCAGATTAAGGAAATTTTTAAAAGTGACAAAAAGTTAGGATTCCAGGTGGAGAAATCGAAGTTAGAAACAGAACTGTTAGAACCTAAGACTAAGGTACTTTCAAGAATGTATAACTTGCTGTTGAAATGGAACACACAAGACGAAATGGTTAAATCGGCTATGATAAAATGGGCACAGGATATTGGGCATAACATTATGTTCGAGGACTGGGAAAGGTTGTGGACCACTGGGTTGAATTTTACTGCATGTAATGCTTTGAAAGAAAATGTAATGAAAATGATATACAGATGGTACATGACCCCAGTTAAACTTGCCAAAATATACCATTCGTCTGATAACAAATGTTGGAAATGTAAAGAAAATGAAGGAACATTCTTTCACCTCTGGTGGACTTGCCCCAAAGTGAAGGCCTTCTGGGAAATGATATATAATGAGCTGAAAAA